ATGGAAACATCCCTAGGAAAGAACTACAGAGTCAACTAGTGGTGACCTCCGCATCTCCAGAAAAAGTATTTCAAATAAGTTACTTTCTAGTTTTCATACTTTTTAATGGAACTTGTAAAACTTCCCCACTCCTACCTGCTGAATTTCCCTTCCTTTTGTTCTACTCCCATTGTGAAATGCTTACTATCTAAGATGTAAGTGCACAGGAATAATTTCCCCCATAGTGTTGTGTAATGTTGATGCATATAGACAAAACAAAATAAAACCAGTGCACACGTGGAAAGAATTCGTTTTTGGGTAACTCCATGTCTCCCTCTTGCGTGCTTTTATTGGAGATATAGCTAATCAAGCATATTATTTTCCGAAGCCAATAATATATTTTGGAATTTTCACAGTGCAATATAAAATTATTTCTTCTTAGCTGGTGCTGAGAACATACTAAAGAATTTTAAAATCTGGATTGCCAGATTAAAATGAATGCAGTGCCCTATACCCTTCAGAAGCTTTCCTGTGTATTTTATGTCTTGGCAGATTCTGTAACACCTAGCCTAAGGAATGGAGAGTGAATTGTTGATAGATTTATTTTGTTATAAATTTGTAAAAACCTTCTAAGCCAGTGGTTATGACTACATCTTGTGATAACAATTTCAGTAGATTAATGGAGTGGTGAATTAATTCCTTTTTTCTGTCTTGAAGGTCCTGCCAATTATATTTCATTAGGAATTTATGTATTGGCTTTATGCAACAGGAGGATCAAAATCTCTCTATTCACATAAGTATCTCCTCTGTCTCTTCAAAGCCCGGTTTTGGCAGCCCACTAGAAAAAAGCTGTTGAAAAACAATTAAATAGATAAACTTGACATGTTTCCCATGTTTCATTAAAAACATGTATTCACAATCATATTTTATAAGCTGCAGTAACATTTCAGAGCAGAAGAAATAGTTGAATATAATGGTAAATCATATGTGCTGAGTATTTGGTGTTTATTATTTCTGATACAACTAGCCATCTGTTATCACCTGCTGTCTGATCTATTGCTTAGTTCTTTTATTAGCAGAAATAATTAAACTAACTGACATCCAATAAACCAGTGGTTCTCAACATTTTTAATGCCACGACCCCAACCGGTTATAAGTCGAGGACTACCCAACCGGTCATAAGTCAAGGACTTTCCCTGCCCGGGAGCACTGCGCATGCATGGTGCCGCCCCCTGTGCTGGCCGAGGCATAGCTGGCAAGGGCAGAGATGGAGCAGGCCGACCACCGGCTGGGCCACCAGGTGGCCCAGCCCAAGGGAGGTAAGGCACCCACCGGGCCCCATGTGCGCCAGCAACCCTCCCTGCACCCACTGGCCTCCCACCTCCCACCTCTGGCCCTCTTTTACTTACATTTTTAGTAGTTGCTCAGCAGGGAGGGGTGGAAGCTTCCAGACAGCTCGCCTTCGCTGCAGACAATTTGCAGCACTGTTTGCAGAATGGGACTTTTGGCAGGCTCAGCAGGGTAGAGACAGCCTGGACAATTCCTATTGGCTTTCAAAAGCCAATAGAATAAAAAGGAGTAGCACAGCTAAGGAAAAGGGGAAAAAATGGCGGACTGCGTTGTTTGGCGACCCCCGTGAAATGGTCGTTCGACCCCAAATGGGGTCGTGACCCACAGGTTGAGAACCGCTGCAATAAACTAACTAGAATTCAAAGACAGATTCTGTTTTTTGTTGTATATCCATAATAGTCCCCACATGGGTCCTATGCCAAGATCTAAATCTGTAAATGGAATAAAGGGATGTTCTTGTATCTGAAATTCAAAGGGTAAGTCAGCAGCAAGCAATAGAGCAGGCAAGTTGTGCTGTGTCAGGAATGATTTTATTTATTTGTTTCTATTTTCTATTTCCATTTCCTATTCTTATTTATACCAAAGAAAGGCAATGATAAACCTGTAGTTTCCAGGTTTTGTTTTTTTTAAAAAATACAACAAATTAAGTAGCTCGTGAAAGGACACCTGCAGTGATTGCATAGGTTTTAATCTTAAAAGACAAGATTAACAGCTAGAGCAAAAGACGTTTGTTACTTGCTTTCATCATCTTCAAGAATCACGGAATCTCCTGCTTTGTGCCCAGAGGAAGGTCTCTAGAACCTGCCAGGTGACAATTCAAAACTGGAGAGCTCAAAGCACAGCAGTCTTGGGAGTTCATAAATTGTGTAGCCTGGATTAGGAAGAGATCAATTGTTTTAATAGTGTAAATTATTAAAAGGCAATAAAAGCAAAAGTAGGTTTCTCTTAAAATACCCATTTTTTTACATTTTATGGTTAATAACTACCATGTTTATTAATGCTAGAAGTTAGCTTTATAATAACAGAAACAGTTGCTTATTGCTCTTCGGAAACCATAGTTTAGGAAACTATCTGAAGATGGTTATCTAGTCAGTGAGCAGGTGTCTTTAATTATATCCACTAAAGAGCTGCTGTTTATCATCATCTTTGAGGGCTTGATAGCCAGGCCTTCACCAGGTCAGAGTGCTTCTGGGCTGTCCTCCTTAGTAATGCATTATATAAGACTTTGACAAGACTAAGAGGGTGAACGGACAACTTTCCCACCTCTTTTCTTAGTATAAAGTAAAGCAATATTGTTTCAGCAGCACAAGTTGTTGTTCCTCTATTTTTTATTTTTTATTTTCTGGCAACAGAACCTTTTTTCTTGACCAGAGAGATATTAACATGCTGGACAGAATTCAGAGAAAAACCACAAAAATGACAAAGGGCTGGAGAGAGTAACTTCACAGAGGCCTCTGCCAAGCCAAAACTGTACAGTTTCAGGATGATGAAGAGAAAGGGGCACAGGAACTGGCTGTATGTTTCCAAATGGATTTGAATATGAATCAGAGAAGGGGGCCTTGTTAGGGAAGTTGCAAAATGGAATTGTTTCCTTGTGGGAGAGACTATGAGAGCCTGGAGAAGCCTGAGGCTGAAGCGGGGCAAGCAAACATTCTTTTGCATTATAAGGGAACATTGGGGCACAACATAGCTGGCTGTACTCCTGGCTAAATAATCACGCATCTGTACAACTCAAAGAGTGATATTCCTCCCCCTAAAATAATACTTTGATCTGAGTCAAAAAGGTGATGCTCAGGTGTGTATAGTTCTGTTTTCTAAATTATAGTATACATTCAAAATAAATTATTTTGATTTGGTAGGTATGATTATAACATTTGATTATGCCAACAGATTCTGCAAATATTGCAGTGTTTAAGGTGTGGTACTTCTGTGTCGGAATCACTGTATATTCTTTGCTTAAAATAAAATCAATCCACATTTTCCAAAAGTATCAGAATGCAAGTTCAGAATAATCATGCAGATCACAACTACGGATTGCACAGATGTCTCTAGCACAATACAGGATTCCTGCTGTTTAAAATAACTATGCATCAAAGTGTGCTGTTAGAAAATAAATTTCAAGTTAACAAGACATTATTGGTTTGCTAGTTTCCAAAGTGCCAATGAAAAATTAGCATTTTTCTGATGGATTGTTTTGTGCTTCTGAGTAAGAGTTTTCAGTCCTAAATAGCTGGACTGAATTAAAACTTATTTAATTTTAATGTTTCCATGTACTTGATGTCCCTTTGCAGTTACATTAAACATTACATTATGTCAGCAAATTTTATATCAACACAATGTTTATGCTTCAGGTTCTCTTCTTTTATGCCAGCCTGAAATCCCTTTGTAGAGCTAAAACCATTTTTTTTTCACATCCTATTATAATTGACATCTTAATTTTGTGTATTAATTTTGGTACTGAGAGCACAAAACTCTTGTATGACCTTCCAATAAGTTCTTGGGGGGGGGGAAATATATTTCCCTACTATTCAGAGAAAGTAGACAGTTTGTTTTTCACCCAAGTTTCTGGTTTTGAAGGGCTTTTAATTTTTTGCTTGTTTGTTTAGCACATAAAAAGATAATGGAGCTCTGAACTCAGTGTGATTTTAGGACAATAGCCTTACTGGCTGACACAGAATCTGACTGAGTCTTGGAATGCTCAGTTTGGGTACTCAAGTATTTCAGTGCTCCCTGCCTGGTAAATCTCTGCCAGCACAAATTTGTGCTTTCATTATGTTGCTATTTAGATGCCTTCACATGCTAAATATCCTTGTTTCCCCTCTCCGTGGTATGTTTTCAGATGAATCACAAGGAAGTAGACAATTGTGGTTATCTTGTTATTTTCCATTACCATTTTTTTCTTTCTTTTCTCCCTTTGCTTTCTAATTTCTCATGTTTCTTCATCTTTTTGTAGAATGCTGAAGCATCAGCATGAATTATCTCTAGCATATGCACTTCCTCCTTTCTTTTATTTTCTTGGCTAAGACTTAAGTCACTTTGCAAATAAACTTATATTTATTTTACTGATAAAGTTCGTTTTTCAGGACAAGTTCTAACCTTATTCCTGTCACTCCCATGTACTTTATGATAGCATGCTATTACTTATATCAAAATGTCTAAAAATGTGTGCTGTGCACCTATGGAGTTTGATAAACATGCTGGTTTCTATTTTCCATCAAAAGGGCTGCAATCAAAGACATATTCCAAATTCTCCACTTGCTGTTTACTCAGACAGCTTACAAATGTGGAAAAATAGCCTTAGTTATCAGAAGAGACCTGTGCTTTGCAAATGAAGTGTGGAATAAAAATAAATAAGCTGTTTGGTTGGTTATGGTGTAGCAGTACAGCAGTTCAGAGCTGAAAAAAGCAGAGAAACCACAGGAAAGAATTTACTAGAGGAGGGGCACGAGATGCAGATTCTAAGATATTTTTGTCTACCTGCCTGAAGTAACCTGTCTAGATAGAAGAGGGGTGGACTCCACAGGGTAATTTGTAGTATTTGATCAACAGAAGACTGGAATATGAATCCCAAAAGTCATCACAAAATACTGTGAATGGCTTAATTTTGGGAGCTATTTTGATACAGAGATGCAATAAAGTAACCACTTTCTCTTTTGTTCTTAAATCCCCAGAACATTTTTGAATATCCACTGCCTTGAAACGGGCTTCTGGGAGGAAGGGAGCTGCATTCCTGTGGTTTGTAAACCGCCTCCACCAGTCTTTGAAGGGATGTACAACTGCACCAATGGCTTTGAGCTTGACAGTCAGTGTGTTCTTAGCTGTGGTCCACAGAGTAAGACGGTAAAAACAATTTTATGGTCAGTTTGCAAGTAGGCCAGATTGAGTTGTGAGGCTGAATCTTGATCCATATGGCAGCTCCAGCTTCAGTTTTACCAAATGTTGATTGCCATATTTTGCCCTGTTTGCTGGCATCTCTTGAATTTGATTTTATTGTGTAATAAAAAGAGAGTGAGTAACTGAGCAGTTTTTATTTTCCTACTACTTCCTTGAATTTCTTATAAAGAACCATGCCATTGTATTACTCATTAATGAGTGTAAAGTATCAGTAATCCTTGCTTACTGACTGCCCCATTCAGCAGCCATTCAAATTTATGACACTGACCTGGGCCTGACATGTTTTTTCTTTGTCCCCCCCCCCTTGTAGATAAGAGAATAGGAAGGAAGGAAGGAGGGAAGGAAGGAAGGAAGGAATCACAAGAGAGTAAGCAGGCACATAATGGAGAATACACATTGAAAGGTGGTCCTTGAGCTGGGATCTGCAAATTCAGATAGCCCAGTATATTCCCCATTGTGTGACTACTTGTTCTGTAACCCCTCCAATCACACTGCTGGAGGATGGAGTGCAAAAACCCCAAAACAATTCAGACACAGGAAAGATTGCTTACAAAGATCACGTGAGTTTTTTTCTCCCCTCCTTTTCCAAAATTGAAAGATTGTAGAAGAAGGGATTACAAGAGAGTAAGCAGACATACAATGGGGACTACACTGAACTGTCTGTGTAGTGCGCTTATGGCTGTCAATGCCAGTGCATTACTTTTGATGTGTGTGTATTTTCCATTGTGTGCTTGCTTAATCTTTTGTAATTTCTTCCTCTCCAATGAATGTAAATACATTAATTCTTTTCTTGCTAATTAACCCATTGTGGTGGATGAGGAAAATGAAATTACAGTTTCAGTCACATGATTTTCCACTTAGCAACCATTTCACTTAGTGATGGAGTTGTCAGTTCCACTTTGTGGTCACTAAACAAAGACTGCCTACATTTTGAATCAGTTTCTTTGATTTTGAATTCTTATAAATGTTAAATCTCCACGGATTACATCAGTATGTGTGTTGGAAGACTGAAGAATGCATAACACTTGTTCAAAAATCTTACATTAGATATTTGAGAGACTTTGAGTAACTACCATGGCGAACTGATATCCCTAAACAAAGGGACAATATTATGTCTGAAATCGGCGTCTGAACACTGGCCCAGACTGCCAAACTCTTGTGAAAAAGGAGAAATCACAAAATTACTTAAATGTACTCCGGATACTGTTTTTTGTGACCAGAAGGAAGGAACCAACATTTTTGCAGTTGGCTTGAGATCAGCTGGGAATCACAGGATTCCACTGAAGTTATAATCATTAATATAGCCTACATGGACTATATGGGTGACATTGATTGTAGTGAATATGGTAACAAAGAGGGACTTTAAATTCTGTACAGTTCATGAATTAATCTGGTTCTCTTATGTTTCAGTTTCCCATTCTTTGCACTAAAAATGGCTTGTGGACAGAGGAATTTAAATTGTGTGAAGAACTGCAGGGAGAATGTGCATTTCCGCAGGAGCTTAATTCAGTGGAATATAAGTGTGAGCAAGGTTATGGAATTGGTAAGGTGAACAGTTTCTGATCATCCCATTCACCTAACTATCCTATCAAATTGTTTGCAGATTTGTGGAAAGGACTATATTTAAAGCTTCAATTTTAATCATTTTTTAATAAAGGGTGCATACTGTTTATATTTTACATCACTGCCAGGTGGGCGGCATGTAAATAAATAAATTAAATAAATATTTGTAGCATATTTCAGTTTTCTCTCTACTTGAGCTTTCTTCTGCTGTTTTAAAATCAAATATTCTGCTTAGATGTTTATATTTTAAAAACATCTTAATATCAGTGGGGCTTTAACACAAACAGCAGACCAATCACAATAGAAACAAGTGTTTTCTTTTCTAGTGTAACATTCAGTTATTCACAAGTAGGTCCCAAAGACAAGCAACAAAAATATATTTCTCTATTTGATTCATATTAAATATTTACTCTGGAAGTCAGAAAGAATGGAAGGAGTTGTGGATAGAAAAAGTGGTATAATTCTCAAAAGGAAAAATTAAATAATATGCAAAGGGGTGCACAGCCTAATCCTTAACGTTGTCTGTCAACTGTAAACTGTATTCTTAAATAGTGTTAAACCTCTGAATTTTCTTCTACTGAGATTAAGCTGATGAGAAAACATCTCCCTATCCCTGAAGAGGCTTTTCCAGATTAGTACATGCAGAAGTGTTTTAGATATAAAAGAAGAATTCATTATTCATAAAGGCTGGAAAGATTAATAAAGTTGAGAAGCTTGCTGTGATTTGTTAAGTTATCAGAAAGTGACTTTGAGAAAGAAGACCAGCACTATATCAACCATAAAAAATGGTGAATCTCTGTTTTGTTTACAAAAAGAGGAAGGAAAAAAAATAAAAACAAAAGGGAAAAGGTAGAAAAAAATTCTGTTTTTAATCATTAAGTCTTGATCCAATAAAATATTGATCAGTTTTGCCATTATGTCAGTAAAGATATAGTTAATGGAATCAGAAAAGCAACAGAATATCCAACATAATGAAATAAATAGCCAACCCTTTTAAAACATTCTTTGGGGTATACTGAAAGAATGTAAAGAAACTTCTGTTGAATTAATCTTAAGATCATAACAAACTTAACATTGATCAACTGACTTCTGGGTAATGCCATGTAATGATTATGTATTGATATTTTTCTAGCCATGCTTCTAGATCAGTGGTTCTCAACCTGTTGGTCGGAACCCCATTTGGGGTCGAACGACCATTTCACGGGGGTCGCCAAACAACGCAGTCCGCCATTTTTCCCCCTTTTCCTTAGCTGTGCTACTCCCTTTTATTTTATTGGCTTTTGAAAGCCAATAGAATAGACTCTCTTGAGTAGAGTCTAATTCTATTGGCTTTCAAAAGCCAATAGGAATTGTCCAGGCTTTCTCTGAGCCCGCCAAAAGTCCCATTCTGCAAACGGTGCTGCAAGTTGTCTGCAGCGAAGGCGAGCTGTCTGGAAGTTTCCACCCCTCCCTGCTGAGCAACTACTAAAAATGTAAGTAAAAGAGGGCCAGGGGTGGGAGGTGGGAGGCCGGTGGGCGCAGGGAGGGTTGCTGGCACGCGTGGGGCCTGGCGGGTGCCTTATCTCCCTTGGGCTGGGCCAGCTGGTGGCCCAGCCGGTGGTCGGCCAGGGAGTGACACCACGCATGCATGGCACTCCCGGGCAGGAAAAGTCCTCGACTTACGACCGGTTGGGTAGTCCTCGACTTACGACCAGTTGGGTAGTCCTCGACTTATGACCGGTTGGGTGTCACGGCATTAAAAAGGTTGAGAACACTGTTCTAGATTTTTCAAACAGCTGAAATTGAAGTTGACAAAAAGTGAATAGTTCCAATAAATAACATTGAAACCTATACTCTGTGACATTTAATAGTCTTTACGACCATTAACCACAGATTTTTAATGTATGCTAATTCTGTTCTTTGTGTAAGGACCCACCCCACTTTGCATCTTAAGAAGACAGAACTCTTGGAATATATCTTCCAACAGGCATCCAACAGAAAATGGTTGCAGGCGTTCTAGACAGGACCTGGGGCCCAAGCCCTACGGTTCAAGGTTTTAAGAGGTCCCCAGCAGCTCCATCCCACCCCACCATCTTTCCAGCGACAATCCCAGGCATTACATTTCCACCCCCTTTTTCCTCATGGCCGGTGGAAGGGGGAATTCAGAGAGGAGTAGATGAAAGCTGATGGCCCCATTGTTATGATTTAGTCTTTTTGGTGGTATCCACATTCAATCCCTTTGAAGTTGTACCGAAGGAAGTGAGGGCCATAAAACCCCTTTGTTCACCCCCCTTCCCCTTCATCGTATGACAGAATCCAGAGAGGGCAGAAATGGGGTTTTCCATAGTCGATAACTAGAGATGAAATATAATTGGATTCTGACACTTTGCATGTAACTGATATATATCCAAGACTCCTTGATTGCCTGTTAAAAATATTGTAGACTTTGAATAATTTAAAATGCTTCTCCATATTGATAATAAATCAGGAGCTGTACATGAAGCTAATGTATCTGGATCAAATTGTGAAATTAAAAAAAAGTTTTAATTGAACATACTGTCATTGCACAATTTTAATTACTTTTCTAGTAAAATGGATTTTAAAGCTAAAGTTACCATGTGACATATATTTATCATAGAACAGAACAGAAAAGAATATTCTTTATTGGCCAAGAGTGATTGGGCACACAAGGAATTTGTTTCTGGTGCATAAACTCTCAGTACACATACAAGCAACAAAGTGATAAATCATAAATCATAAGGTACAGTTATAAACTGTAAGAAATAACCAACAAAGGGATAATCATAAGATACCAATAGGAGCAGATAATAGGAAAAATTTGAAGGATAATAGTAATACAGCCCTACTACATGGTTAGATATCCTTAGGCATAAGATAGTGCTGTTGGAATTAGGTGTTTAGCAGAGTGATGGCATGGAGGAAAAAACTGTCTTTGTGTCTAATTGTTTTGGCATGCAGTGCCTTATACCACTATAAGCCACCGTCTTGTGGGGAGAAGTTGAAGCTATTTATGACCAGGACGTGAGGGGGCCTGTAAATATTTTCACAGTTCTCCTTCTGGCTCATGAACTAGACAGGTCCTCAATGGCAGGCAGGCTGTTGCAATTGTTTTTTCTGCAGTCCTAACTATCCGTTGAAGTCTATACCTGTCCTGTTCAATTTCTGAACCAAATCAGACAGTTATTGAGGTACAGATGACAGATTTAATCATTCCTCTGTCGAACTGTATCATCAGCTCCTTGGGCAGTCTGAGCTTTCTGAGTTGACACAGGAAAAACATTCTTTGTTGTGCCTTTTTAATGGCAGTTCTAATGTTAGGTGTCCATTTCAATTCCTGGGAGATTATACAATCCAGAAATCTGAAGGTCTCTACAGTTGATATTGTGTTGCTAATATTGTAAGAGGCGACAGAATAGGAGGGCTCCTCCTAAAATCTACTATCATTTCTACAGTTTTAAGTGTTTCAGTTCTAGATTGTTCCAGCTGCATCACAGGACCAGTTGTTCAATTTCCTATCTGTATGCAGATTCATCACCATCTCAAACTCTTCCATTTTGACTTCCGAAGAATGTCGCCTGTTCACATGGGGCTTCCAAAGATTTGTAAAGTCTTTTGGGGTTTCAGGAGCCAAAATCATTTGGGTCTTCCAAAGAACAGAGCATGTTCACACATGGAATTATATAGTATGGGTAGGGAGAGGGAATGAGGAGATAATATTGTTCATGTGTATCTTTTGAAAAGCAGCACATTTTGCTTTTTTTTTTTTTTGCTTAAAGATTTACTTCTTCCAGATTATCAAATGTAAAAATTGTAGGACACCAAAGAAACGGAGCAATGTGGCAGGGGACAACTTATTTACAGCTAATAATTGCTGTGTGGGGGCAGAGGGGGGAAAATAGCATCCTAAATATTGGGATATACATACTGTAAGCCCCAACCAAACAATCTAGACCAGTGGTTCTCAACCTGTGAGTCGGGACCCCATTTGGGGTCGAACGACCATTTCACGAGGGTCGCCAAACAACGCAGTCCGCCATTTTTCCCCCTTTTCCTTAGCTATGCTACTCCCTTTTATTCTATTGGCTTTTGAAAGCCAATAGAATAGACTCTCTTGAATAGAGTCTAATTCTATTGGCTTTCAAAAGCCAATAGGAATTGTCCAGGCTGTCTCTGCCCTGCTGAGCCCGCCAAAAGTCCCATTCTGCAAATGGTGCTGCACCAGTTGAGTAATCCTCGACTTACGACCAGTTGAGTAGTCCTCGACTTATGACCGGTTGGGGATCGCGGCATTAAAAAGGTTGAGAACCACTGATCTAGGCTTTCTCTTCTTTTCTAATTAAAAGATTATCACAATTGTTGATGAATGAAGTTTTGTTAAGTAGCAGAGCAGTATATCATTTTATGTTCTCAAATTGGAGATCATGCAAATCCTTATGGAAGACCATGCAATTTACACATTTCTCAATGGAAATTATAATCTGCTACTTCTCTTTTTTTTTTTCTGTGCCAGGAGCTACATGCATACCTTCCTGTCTGTTCCTACCGAGAGATCCTGTGATATTGCCTGAAAATGTCATTGCTGATACCATGGACCACAGACTGAAACCTACCAAAGTCCAGGTAAAAAGAAGTGGAAGTGCTGCAACTTTGAAAGTGGAATATATTAATCTGCTTACCTAGAACTGTGGAAAGCACTGATCTAAAGTTATATATTCTTCAGTAAACATTTCCATCTTATACTCCAGTTTCAGTGAGAAAGGTATGAGAGTGATGAGTAAGTGTGACTATGAGCAAAAAAAAAGCCAAAAAAAAAAAAACCCAACCCCACAGAAAAGGAAGTTGTTTTTGAAAAGAGCTTAAAGAGTTATGATGTGCAAGACTCATTGTCCTCCTTCCTCTGGCTGCAGCTTGGATTTCTAATCAAAGGGGCAAGCTTTTTCTCCATGCTTACTTAGAAGTTCCTTTTTTGGGATTCTAACATTTTGAATATTTTTAAAAAGGAGGTTTCATTATCACAGTCATCATGAACTGGAAAATCAAAGCTACATTTTTATCTGGAGAGAATGTAAATTATTGTTTCCCTTTTTAAGAAGTCCAATCTAGGCCTCGTGTTTGAAAATGACTTAGCTGTAGCTGCAGAGGGTAGATTTGGCCATAAAGTATTGGTAACAACCAATTAACTAGTGGAACAGTTTGCCCCCAGAAATCGTGGGCACTCCATCACTGGAGATTTTTAAGAAGGGGTTAGACAAGTTACTTGTATGAGATGGTATAGGTTCTCTTGCTTAAGTGAGGGGCTGGACTAGAAGACCTCCAAGGTCCCTTCCAGCACTATTCTATTCTAATGTTGCTGTTACCTCGTGTCAGATGGGCAGCAAACAAATTTAATAAAAAAAAAAAATCCTGTTCTGTTTTTGACTTGCAAGAGTAATGACATCCCAACAAACTGGACCTAACTAAGGAACCCATGACATATATATCAGGGCTATAGTTTTAACAGCTCTAGTAATGGAATCTTGTAACAGAATCCGAATGTGACCCCCCCCCCCCTTACTTTATCTCCATGTGAACTTGGATCTTTTTTGAGATTTTTTCTCATATTATTTTCTTGGCCAAGGCTCAAGCCCCTTTTATCTGACTATTGCCTTGGTAGTGGTTCTTCCTCCTGCTCTTCATGGTCATTCTCTCTGCTTTTGCATCATCACACATTATCTGCACTCACTTATTGATGTTTAATAAGCTTCATTGATTATCTGCTTGCTATTCTCCAACAAAACATGACATGACAACTGGACCACAACTGATGCAGCCAATATGTGAAAGATTGTGCTCCGTTGAAAATGTCATCAATGGTACAGCCCCCCTGTGAGGGAGATGAGTGGTTTCTAAATGTGATAAATAAGTATAATAAATAGACTACTAACTTTACGGGCAATATAGTGTTTCGAAATCATTGCTTTTTATAACTCATGATGAAGTTATTATGGAACAAGTATCCAACCAGACTAGCAGTGGGAAAAGACAACAGTGAAGTATTAATGGCTGGAAACAATTGGAATATAGTTTTAAGAACTTCACTTAATTATGTTTTTTTAAATAAGGAATGTAGACATATCCAACATTTTTCATGCTTGGTTGAAGGTTGGGAAGGTACACTAGTTGAGTCTTTGCCTGGCATTCTTTCATGCTCTTTCTGGGAAGAAGACATGCATAGGTACAGAAAAAAAAATAGGAGAAAATGGTCTGGAAACATCTGTGGATTATCTGTCAGCATTCTAAGTTATCATGATACCCTGGCTTTGTTATTCTGAATCTCTGACTCTGATGTTTAGCTTTTTTCTAGTTGCATTCTTATCCCTCTCAGTGGAATGGCTAAAATACCTTAGATATTATAATTCTGTTGTTTCATCTAAATTGAGTTTGCCTGAAAATGAAAAATATGGCTGGCATTTAAAAACATTTAAAATAAAACCAAGTTGTGTTATTATGGAGCTGAATTACCACCCAAGATTATATTTCTTTCTCCTCATGGGAATTTTCAGGATTATCGAAGATTCATTCCTTTAGACACTGTTGTGTGTTACATTATATAAACTCTACAGTTGTGCTGCTGGTTATGTTCAAACAGGGGAAGAAGGTATCTACTACGCCCTTTAAGGCCTGTAATTCTGAAGTGGAATGCTCTTGAGTTGATTTTCTCCCATTGTTGATTTTTTGTGTAATGTTTTGCCTTCCAGCTGAAAACCCCTTACTACATAAAAGTGTTCTCCTGGGAATAGGGAAACAGAAAAGAGATTAATATAGGGAGGAGGTTTTGTTATTGTGAAACTAAATTATTCCCATTGCCAGAAGCTGTCACTTAACATAATTCTCTTTTTGTTCATTTCTTGATCCTTCTGTATATTTTCAAATCACTTCTCTTCTTCCACTTGATGGTCGACTGGATATTCTGTGAACTTTAATGGCATTGTTGAATCATTGTCTCCAAGAGGTATCTGCCATACAGATCAGGGTGAGGTAGGAAGAACAATGAAGTGGATTAGGGACCTGGGCTAGATTGATTAGGGTCAAGCAGACTGAAATCTGCCAACTGGAGTCATCAACTACAAATGCAGTAATCTAAATGTATTTATACTTTATTCAAAGAAGCAAAAATAGTTACGTATGTGAGTTTACTTTTGTTCATTTCATTATATGGAAACAAGCTGGGTCTGTCAAGAGAAACCCTGAAATAAGTTGAATACAGTGAGAACGGGGTGCTTCAGAAATGTGTGTGACAAAACAAGAAATAATAATCAAGAATGAATTAATGTTGAGTGAATGAGGATGAAATACAGAAGGGTATACAGTTTTAAGGAAGCCTATTGAGAGAGATTGTTCATATAGAGGAATAGAGATTAAATCGTAAAGATGGGGAAGTTGTGGTTGGAAGGAGATCCTCAAAAACAGAGAATTGATAATTCCAAAGAAGAAAGGACAATATATAAAATATATATAAAAAAGTAAATGGAGACAGTAAAAACAAGGATGCAAGGATGCTTTTTAAGTATAGAAAAATATGAAATAGTGAATAGTGTAAACTAGTTTTAACTATGTTTCTTTTTCTTATCTCAGGACTTAATCTGCTTGGAAATATTTCACTACTTATTTCCTATTATATATAGAGTAGCCTTGATATAATAGCAGTGATGTAAATTAATGTAAATGCTTCTACAGTACTGTATATTCCGGCGTATAAGGCGACTAGGCGTATAAGACGACCCCCAACTTTTGAGAAGATTTTCAGAGTTTAGAAAGTCATCTTATACGCCAGAAAATACAATATTAAATTTCTGTTTATAGATGAGCACAATAGGAGCTCCTTTGCTGCTAGAAAGCTTTGTCTTGTTAGTGTTTATTTCTGTAAAAAAAATAGGGCTGGCCACTAGGGGGCAGATTGGTTTTAAATTCAGAGAACAGCTACCCGTATATTCCTGCATATAAGACAACCCCTGACTTTTGAGAAGATTTTAAGGGATTAGAAAGTCATCTTATACACCGGAAAATACGTTACTTACTAAAAAGTTTGGGAATGCTTTGAGGCTAGTTAAGAATAATATTATTTTCTTTGTTTGTTTTGTAGGGATTGGTAGGTTTAAAAATCAAATATTTACTAATATCTTTCAAAGATAAGCCTACAAATACTGTATAATGTTTACAAACCAAGATTTTTTTAGGAGGATGATGCGAATCTTAAAATTATCTGGAATTATTTTTTATCAAATAGGACAGTGGTTCTCAACCTTTTTAATGCCGCGACCCCCAACCGGTCGTAAGTCAAGGACTACTCAACCAATTGTAAGTCAAGGACTACTCAACTGGTGCAGCACCATTTGCAGAATGGGACTTTTGGCGGGCTCAGCAGGGCAAAGACAGCCTGGACAATTCCTATTGGCTTTTGAAAGCCAATAGAATTAGACTCTATTCAAGAGAGTCTATTCCATTGGCTTTCAAAAGCCAATAGAATAAAAGGGAGTAGCACAGCTAAGGAAAAGGGGAAAAAATGGCGGACTGCATTGTTTGGCGACCCCCGTGAAATGATCATTTGACCCCAAATGGGGTCCCGACCCACAGGTTGAGAACCACTGAAATAGGAGATTGTGTATAGAATTTGTAATCCCAGTCGCGCAAAATAGAATGTAATAGATCTTTAGCGAAATAAGATATTTTTTTTGAAAAACTAAAGATTGCTTGCTGTTATCCTCTGACTAATGCAAAACTCTTTTTATCTCTCTTCAGAGTATTGTGTGTACTGGAAGATTGGAATGGTATCCTAGCCCAAAATCTATTCATTGTATTATTTCCTGTGAGGTAAGAAAAAGTCTGTCTGTTTCTCTCTCTCTCTCTCTCTCCCTCCCTCCCTCCCTCTCCCCCTCTCCCTCTCTTTCTCTCTATCATCTGCCAAAGAGACGGAAAAATTCTTGTGCCTCTATGCCCCCCCCCAATCATCTCTTTCAGATTTGATTTTATTTAGGTGTTTTGTATATAATGTACTTCATTGCACTCAAAAGGATTTTTAATTTGCTGGGTCCTTTTTATTGCCACTCAACTAAAATTGGTATTATTGTCGCCAGTTCCCAGTTTTTGAGAATGTACCCTGTGTAATCAATACACATAGAGAGAGAAGAGATGCCCATTATATATAGTTCAATTTAAGCAGTTCAGGAAGGATGCAGTCACTACAAGGGACTTTTCCACTGTGAGGGATTCAATTAGTCTAGTGGCTTCAGAGAGGCTGGTCACCAGCTATTTAGTGTGTCCAACTCCAGGCCCTCAGTGATATGCACCAGACTGGATTGGAGTATAGAGCTCAAAAGTGTGCATCTTGTTTGTACAGGGACTTGATTAGCAGGCTTCTTAACAGTTTAACACAGTTGTAACTTCCAAAGAGTGATTTTTTTTAACTGACTTGATTAAAGTCTGTCAACTGTCATTGGTAGCTTTTTACTACTCATGAGGGCCTTAGAGATTAAAAATTGTAGTGTAGAGGTCTTCAATACTCTTACAAATGTAGAGTGAATGAATGAATGCCCCAAATGTTGATCTATCCATTTTGAAGGGAGAACTCTCAAAGCCACAATGTGGTTGTTGACTAAGGGTACTTTTTACATCCCTGAACTTGATTTAAACATGTTGCAGAAATGTCCTCTGTGGTTATCAAACAAATAATGCCTTTTCAGGCTGAAAATCAATCCTGTAATCCATATGGAAGAAGAAATCTGACCTCTGGAGTACAGGTAGTTCTCAACTTATAATCATGTTGAACCTAAAATTCTGATCACGTGATCATGGGGATGCTGCAATGGTCGTGTGAAAAATGGTCATGTCTCTTTTTTCAGTGAAATTGTAACTTCAAACAGTCACTAAATGAACTGTTGTAAGTCAAGGACTTCATATAGTTCATTTCCTGATGCACTGCTTTTTAATCTGCACAGGATTCTTAAATATAAATGTTCAAATGTTCATATATGTAATCTCATATTACAATTTGAATTGGTATAACCCATGCTATCACGCCTGGAAGTTAACCCAGATCTTCTTTCATTTTGTAAGTAGAATCAATCTGCATTTACTTGGGTCATTTCTGGATCAAAGTCTAGTGCTATTTTTAATTGCCAAATAAAAAGCCTTCTTCCATGTTCTTTCATCATTTAGAATGTAATGACTTCCTAGGACACGTGGGCATGAAATGTGAAATCAGTTAGCACCTTCTCATCACAAAGTGTGAGGATATACTATATTTGTATAATACTTGTTCCTAATTTCCCACCAATCCTGGGAAACATAGTTCTTTGAAAGTATGGAAAGGATTAGTAATAGAGGTCTCCATATTTCATCAAAAAACATCAAATTTTGAAAAATGCTATGATAGTTAATTTACTATAAATCAGATGCTGGGGTTCAGTAGTGACTAGCCTTTTATGTTGTGGTCCAGCAAGACCCTTTTCCTAGACTTAAAAAATGGCAACTTTATGATGTAATTTGGATTACTTCTAACTCTTCTTTCTTCTTTGTCTGATTCCAAAATAGCTAAACTTTGTTTTTCCCTCCTGACCGTTTATCTTTCTTTCTGAGTTTTTCAGACTCTCTCTGCCAGGAATTAAGTGTAGTGAGGAATGAAACATTTGTAAATTCACAAGGAGGGTGCAAAAGGGAGGAAGCATTTGGAAAGTTCATCAGCAATAATGATGCTAGTGCAATAAACTTTGAATTACAGATGCTCCAGGTCACTTTAATCTTGTACTATCATGAGAAGAACAGATGGCATAGAAAGCGGTTTCATGCGTCTCGTTTTTGGAACTGCCCTTTTTCAAACAACAGCCAAGTGTGCTTTCTAGTCCTTTTCTTTTCCTTGCTGAAAGCAGAATTTGTACAAAGTGATCTTTTCCCCCCTAATTTAATACTTTGTAATGGATAGTTGTCTATCAAATATGATTAAAAATTTCAAATATAGTTTAAAATTTGCTTTTTTTCAGTCCTTGTCCTTTTGTTCCTCATTGCTCTCTAAAGGAAACCTGGGAACCGCTTTTTTTTCCTCCCCTCCCTGAAGATTTTTTTTGCCTATGGTTCACTTTCACTTCTAAGAAGTTTCTCATAGGCAGATTATTCCTGCTGTCAGGTGCAAAACAGAGAACACTACCACAAAAAGCAAAACCAGTTGGGATACCTTCAGCCACAAATTCCTGACCTACTCAACTATTTTGAATCAACCCTAGAGTCACATCAGAGGAGATATCAGCACTTAGTGATATCACCTTCAGAAACCAAATAGAGGGAGACAGACCTTGGGTTCTGATACAGTCTGGGAATGGTTCTTAAATTTTTGAGAAATGGGATCTTCTGCTTAAGTCTGTTGGGAGCTCTTTCTAGCTGTCATTATTGAAAGCAGATGAAGTTTTCTACCATTTTGAGGTGGGGAACAGATGCAGATCACCACACGCACTCTAAATAGTCATTACAGTTATAAATAAATACATTTAATAAATAAATTTAAAAATAAATTTGGCCAAACCTACTTCTGGCATCTGTGTAGGCATCCACTCCTCTCCTCCCAAAATCAAGTGTGGTCCTTGGTCACAGCAGATTACAATTATGTAGACAGCTTACTTGAAAGCATTTTACAGTGTTGAGACAAACTTACAATAGGAAAGGAGCCTTGGTTACTGTGGGAACCATGGTAGAGGGCTTGTAGTTATAAAATAGAGGTTGTAACATGTACTGTAATTTGGGCATCAGGCATAGATATACTTCTACATTTTAGAAGTATATGGAAATGCATCTTTTATAAGCCTGGTACAAATTAAATGAGGTAGGAAAATAGGTTTATAAAGTATCCAAAATAGCAGAACTCTTCTGATTTTAAAATGATGTGTACATATGTACAGCATGTGTACATGCTATTTCAGTGTGTAGGGGTGAAGAGCACTAAGCCAATAGTAGCAAATATGGGTTTGCTCTTTTAGTTCTGCAAAACAATCAGTCAGTTGTCTGCAGTGGAGAAGAAAGCCAGTTTCCCCAACAGTTTCGTCCTTGTTATAACATTTGCTTATTTACACGTATGTTTGCATAAAGGTATGCAGGATTTGATGCAGGGAGCCCTGAATATGGAAGTTAACTGAACAACACCCCCCCCCAAATAAAATGAGCTTATACAAGGTCCTTTAGAAGCATTTGTTTTATTAAAATGACTGATGACTTTAAATCACAGTTCAGGGATATAACAACTGAAGATATTAGCAGTAGAATTAGCCTCTTCTTTGATTGCTAAGTTTCAGTCTTCTCTAATTGCTCTTGCTTTTGCCTTATGTGTCCAAACTGTCTTAGCTTCATTATGAGTGCTTCAAGATGTTTTATTTCATTTTGTATTGAGTTATTTGTTGTTGTAGTTCAAAATAGTCTCCAAAATAATTTCCAGCATTAGAAATGAAAAGAAATTCTTTTTTTTTTTTTTGGCTCAGACTTTCTGCTGGTCCAGGTTTCACAACTGTATGTTGGAAAGAGAACTACCTTGACAGCATATAACTTTGTTATCTATACGATACCTCTAAATTTTAATGTTGTGTGTGCATTTGTCATACATATATGCTTTTCAATAAAAGAGTAAAATTCAGAAGACACCAGTAGCAAAAGCCTCAACAAATATGAGCTTAAAGCTGAAATCTAAGGGTTTGGTTTGGTTGGGAACGTGTCCAACCTAAAGCCAAATGAGTAGCATCTTCAAGACCTAATGACTTTTTCAAAAGTCCTATAAATCCCTGTTTAAGAGTTAGAAACAGGTGTCTCAGCTAAACAACCAGCCTAACCATCCCAGAATGTCAAAAATAAAAAAAATAAAAACCGAGCCTTACCTTTTACTGTCTCAAAAATTCAGGTAAGCTAAATAGATGCTTGGGCTGGGAGGGCTAAGGAATCATTTGAGTTATTCAAGTTCTTTACAGAGTGATCACATGTGACCTCTTCTGAGATCCACAAACCAGGGTGGATAATAATTGATATTTTTTTTTCAAAAAAAAAAAAATTAAAAAAAATATTATTTTGATTTAAATCGGATTTTTTATTTAAAACAGATTTTTTTAATTTTTTATCAAATTTATTTTAATAAAATGCTTTTGGAGTAAAAATCTATCTAAATATAGTTTTTATTTAAGATACATTAATAATTTAGTTTATTCAGCATGAAATGGAGCTTAGTTATGTAGCATGAGGCTGTGTATTCTGCAGTATTTACATTTTTGGAAAATTCATTCAATGAATCCAAGCTCTGCAAGCTGAGATAACATGCACTGCACTGATGCATTCACACGGTTTCATAATAACCATGAGATAAATCATAAAACAAAGTTCAGGAATATTCCTTTATCCCATTGTTTTACAAATCTATGTATACTACAAACTGTACGATTGTTTGAAGAGAAATGCATCTGTACCAGGCTCTAAGTGTTTTAATTAAATAAAAGAATTTGAGTAGTTTTCCAACTAAGTGTGATTAACCTATTAGGTTCTGATATCCCCGTTTTACTAACCTGACAGCTTATTATTCTAAATAGGAAACCTTCATTTTATTTGCAAATAATAATATTAAAGATTCTAACTATCAGCAAGGATGACATTTACATTTAAAGAGCACCTGTCATTTCAGATCCATCATGGCAGCGCCTGTTAGCGGGCATCCACCCACCTGCTGCCCGGCACGTCCCTCAACATGTTGTGTCACTGCCGCATCACCAGCCGTCTCATTAAAGTGAATGGGACTGTCGGTGAGTCAACAACGAGTCAGAGGAGGAGCTGCTGTGGGACAGAGATGACAGTTG